CTTAAAGGTCCACTAGTTCATTTCATCTAAATTGTATGAATTGTAGTTTTCTTTAGTCCAGAAAAGGTCCTTTATATTTAAATACTTTATATTTACGTCGAGGGGACCCTCTCTACGGAGGCCGCCATGTTTTTACATTAGTCCAGACTGGACAAACTAAGCACCTTTTGAGTTTTTATGACAATTAAAGTCTACCACAAGTTATTTTTCATGTTTGGAAGGAGAGGGTGAGGTGAGGGGTGTTCAGCTGCAACATGTAATTTCAACACTAGATATCACAAAATTCTACACTTTAAGTAACTGGAGTTTTTTTTAATACATTGCATATATCTTTCTCTGTTAAGTAATCGGCACAATCTTCATAAGTTCACAAATTTTCTTAATAAAAGCCCTTACTCAGCTCAACATAGGTCACTCCAGAAAGAAAACAAACATTGTTCTTTTACTTTGTTGACAAATTAGATATTGTAGGGTTCAGTAGACTAAGACCAGCAGTTGGTCTTAACAGACATTTCAGAAAGAAGACATTCACCCTGTTATGGTTGTGAGAGAAATACATTTTAATGGTACAAAGCTTGGATGACAAGATTTTCAGTGAGACACACAGTAGAGTACAGCTTCTTCCATCCAGTTTCCACCAACTAATGCAGACATGTTGCTCCTTTAGATGTAAACTAGCTGTGGGCTTTACCCCTGCGAGCTGCCTGTTTCTCTACATGTGCATGCTTTGTGTGTGTGTGTGTGTGTGTGTGTGTGAGTTGTCAAAGTCCCAGACACCAGATGTTTAGAGTGGAGGGGAAGTGGAGCTGGCGCCATGAAGGGCAGAGGGCAGCGAGAAGGCACGCAAATTGAAATTACACACACACACACACACACACACACACACACACAAACACACACACACGCACACACTTGGCACATTCCCTAGCAGTCTCTCCAACATTCCCCTACTCTGCCACTCCAGGCCATCTGCTCTAACATACTTTGAAACAAGGAGGGGAAAAAACACAGTCATCATCAGGCTGTCAAGCAGCAGCAGCTGTTGGAAAGACAGAGAGTGCATGTGTGTGTGTGTGTGTGTGTGTATGTGCGTCCGTGTTTGTGCGTGTGTGTGAAGAGGGAAGGGGGAGTCTGCCAAGAATTAAATGCTTTTTTATATTCTCAGAGCCACTGAGTCTGTCAGCACTGTTAGATGGGAAAAGGACACTTTTGCTTCTTTGTGATTTTGCACTGAGGCCTGAGGTCACACAAACAGCAGGAGAAATATCAGACGGGAACCTGACTGGAGAAAATGTTTTTCTTTGTCTTTCACACTATTACATGGTGAATCTCTGGGTTCAGTGGCTGGAAATTAGTTTAATCTGCAGTCTCAAATGCTTAAAGGGATAGTTTACAGAAAAATGAAAATACAGTCATTATCTACTCACCACTATGCCGACATTTGGAGTCTCAGGGGTAAACAGCATTACAGCCAATTACAATACAATTGAAGTAACTAGTGATCAATTTTTCAAACGTAATATTACAAGAGATTACCATACTGCTCATGTGGTGTCATTCAAGTGTCCAAAAGCCCCAACATTCAAATTCGACACGGAACAGCATCATTTACACCAAGTTTTTAGCCTAAATGTCCTGTGATAACGTCCTCGTAGATGAGTTTACGTTCGCACGCTCACAACGGAAACACCCCACTGTACACAAGCTCTCACCCAATGGTACACATAGGGTGTGTGTCAGCATCGCTATTTTTTCTCCAGTCACTTCAGTTGTATTGGATTTGGCTGCAACAAAGTTTACCCCTGAAAGTCCTGAAAGTGTTTTGTGGACTCAAACACTTCACCCACCCCTCCATCGGCATAGTGGTGAGTGGATAATGAGTGAATTTTGATTTTTCTGTGAACTATTCCTTGAACCACAATCTCATTATTGAGTGGTCAGATATACCCCTCAGAAAAAAAATTAGAGAGAATTTACTTACCGAGCAATCATTTAATGAGAAAATCAAATGTCAGACCTGTTAAATGAAAATAATCGTTGCAGCTTCTGTTCAAAACCCTAAACAGAAAGAAAATCAGCTTACTAAGGAAAATGAACTGAAACCGTTAAGGTTTTTAATCTAGACACTATAGTCCATCTACAAGACCAGGACATCAAGATGGAGGCTTTAGGACCTGACCTGACATGTACGCCTCTGCAGAAGGAAACATAATACATGGGCCCACTGATAACCTTCTCATTGTTATGATATATAACTGAAATGATGAACAATATCAACAACCATAAGAAACAGCAGGGCTACTGACTCTAAGCCACAGACACACATTCTAGAGGGCTTCTAATAGCAGTAGCAGCTTAGCTACATCACAGATACCCACAAAGTGGTTATCTGAAATCAGTTAAAGCTCCAGCAGACTCTGTCATTCAGAAGAGACATTATTATTCACACTGGTGGTCAGACAATCTCCCTCCTGTCCCCACACCCTCAATGTCACAAGCCTGGTAGCTGAAGTCTCTACCTCCCATTCTACTCTTACAGACTCTAGGAACCACAAGCGTATATTTAGGGGTTAAAGTGATCTATTGGGATAATATGGTGCTATGAGCTCTTTGATATATGAAAGGTCTTGAGTATTCAGGGCTTTGTATGTGAGGGGCAGGATTCTGAATTATATTTGGAATTTCACAGGCAGTCAATGTAGAGAAACTAAGACAGGAGTAATGTGATCTCTCCTTCTAGTTCCTGTCAGCACTCATGCTGCAGCATTTTGGACCAACTGGAGACTTTTCAAAGACTTCCTGGGACATCCTGATAATAAAGAGTTACAGTAATCTAGTCTAGAGGTAACAAATGCATGGACTAGTTTCTCAGCATCCTTCTGAGACAGGATGTTTCTAATTTTCACAATATTGCGCAGGTGGAAGAAAGCTGTCCTAGAGACTTGTTTTATGTGTTGGTCAAATGACATGTCCTGGTCAAACATGACTCCAAGGTTCCTCACAGTGGAGCTGGAGGCCAAACTAACACCATCCAATGTAACTATCTGGTCAGACAGTGATTCTCTGAGATGTTTAGGGCCAATTACAGCAACCTCAGTTTTGTCTGAATTTAGAAGTAAGAAGTTTTGGGTCATCCAGGCCTTGATGTTCTTGAGACATTCCTGAAGTTGAACTAAGTGATTGGATTCATAGATATGTACAGCTGGGTTACAATGCATTACAATGTAAATGTATGTGGTACTTTCTGATGTAATTGCTGAAAGGAAGCATACACAAAGTGAAAAGTATCGGTCCAAGTACAGAACCATGTGGACTAACGTTTGTCTGCATGGAGGGTCATTGTTAACATTAAGTAATTGTACTCTATCTGAGAAATATGACTTAAACCAGCCTGGTGGTGTTTGTTGAATCCCTAAATGTTGTTCCTGTCTTCCCTTCTTTTCCTCTCAAATCCCTTCCCCACGTTTCTTGTTCAGTCAGGGAAGTGAGGTCTTGCTTGTCCTGTCATGATTTTAAACCTGGGCTTGAATGGTAATGGCGTAGTGGCATCTCACATTGCTATTTTTAACAATCGCACTCTCTGAACATGAACTGCCCATCAGAAAAATACACACGTTAGTCTGTCCAGTCATGATTTTAGACTGTTTTCACTGTCTACTTTGCTCTTTTTAGAGCATGCCATATGAAGTTTTTTTTCTTACTTTTCTCTTACTCACTTATCACTTTCTGTTCTCCCTACTGCCATCTCTCCTTAAATTAGTGAATGAGACACAAACACAGTCAGAATTCTCATCATATTTCACAAATTATGCAAAAACTACTCAATCATCCCATTGCTCCTGATTCCTATTGATTATGGAGAAATACCTTAACATGTAGAGAGTCTAAAACTTTGCACAGAAAAACTCTTCCCAACTGCTCAGCAGTATCTGTGTTGTGCCTTTACATATAACATGATAACCGAAAATGCCTTGTTTGTAATGTGGCTGACATCTCACCGGTATTCTAACATGCAGCTTATTACCATCAACTGTCAAACCAATTAACAATAATATAGAACTCCCTCAGTGCAAAGCACACTGCAGCATGGAGGGATACTGACAGTGTACTGTACTTGACGGCTGTGGCTAGAGGGCTTGTTGTCCAACCAGAAGGCCAGCGGTTCAATCCCAGTCTTCCCCTTGGGCAAGATTCTGAACCCCAAATTTCTGTAATATGAATGTGTGTGAATGGGTGAATGGCAGAACTGTACTGTAAAGCACTTTGAGGGGTCATCTAGATGAGAAAAGCTCAATATAAATACAAAGCATTTACCATTCTTTTCACTGCATTTGTTTTTAGGAGTCTGCTGAAGGCCAAACTTAAGTTTGCTTATGTTTGTGTCCAGGTTTTTCTTCTGACAGTGTAGCTTATGAACAAGGTTCCGTTAGCCAAAATAATTCAAACTGAATTTGCTGCAATCATGCTCGGTCTAAGGGCACAAAGCCAATTTTATATTCCATGTGATAAACAAATTACAAATCATGATTTTGACATCTATGTTTCATATTGAACAATAACTAATTAATGAATGGATTGAACACCACAAATATGCATGAACAGAAATTAAATATTACAGAGTTCTTTGTCCAGTTTGTCCATTGCTTGATTGTGTTCTTAATTTTAAAGTGCTTTTATATCGTTGACAGGTTGGCAGGATGCCAGAGGATTTGTGATGTTTTCAGATTCCCTTTACCAGAATCTTCTCATCGATGAGGGCTGTGTAACTATCTATCACACAACCAGCCTCAGGCTCAACTCATCTGTTGTACTGGACTCAACATATTTGTATGCAAGAGTGAAAAGGCCAAATATGGTGAACAACAATAATATTTACTACAGTGACGTAGAAAAGGAACCACAAGTATATTAACAGCCAAATGCAATAACATTTTTTGCCTTCATTATAATAACTAGGTGTACGCATTGTAAATTGAAAAATCCAGTTCTAATTGACATTACGACTTATCTAACACAATATATAACCTTATTATTATTTCCCAATAAATAAGTTAAAGTTGACTGTTTACATAAAGCTATAATTTGTACACTGAATGTTTTGATGTGTCTAATGTTTTTCGTTACTGTATTGTATATTACTTTAAGAAATATTAGTTAGCGCCTTGGTTCCTGTTTTTTGACGTGTCTTTGTGTTGTCATATAGACTTTATTCCGGAGTGTTACAGTTGTCATATGATGAATACAAGCCAATTATGTACATGTGTATGTGAAATGAGCATGCATTAAAAAAAAATAAAGTTCCTCAATAGAAGAATTGAGTTCTAGAGCAGGACTGTTGAGACACTTCGTAATTATTCTTTGCTGCATAATCTTTGCACGTTCCCACTAAACTAGTCACACTAATTTAAAGGGTGGATTGTTTTCACAATTTATTTTTATGTGTTCCCAATATCCAAAGTACTGGTGTACATATACTATAATGCAAGCGTTACCGGTAACCTTCTATCTGGTATTTTATTCAATTTTATGCCATAAAGCTTCGGAAAAGGTTTAGATTTTGCTGCTAAAATTCAAACATCTGCACTTTGCTCAGATATATTTTCTTCTTTATTTGTACCTCTCATTTCCCTTCACTGGCTTAACAGCATATGCAGATACCCAGATTTTAAAACATGCTTTGCCTTCAGTCTGAACACACCTTGTGAAGAGCCTATGGAAAGGAGCAAATTGTGCAAAACCCCCTCTGTCCCTTTCTTTACACCAGTCCTGGTGTGTTTATGCCATAGACCATATGGTATAAGTGACTATGGGATCTTTTTTCAAATTACAATTTATAAAAGTTAAAGAACACATTATGCTTTTTCAGTCTTTACCTGTCCGCTAGTGGGTAGTATATGTTTTTTCTGTACGTAATCAGTGTGCATGGTTCAAAATCCCAAAGTCCACAGCAGAGGGAGCTCCACTCCACTCTCCCACAGTAAACACTTCTCTTGAAGCTGCAATAATGCCTCGTTATCGATTTCTCTAATACGTATGCAACTGTGCAATGTCACTGCGTGGATCATCAGCATAATGCAGCTAGTCTGTCACCCCCCGAGCCGAGAGGAGTTTGGTTTGCAGTATCGCCACGTCAAGGAGACGTTGTTTTCTTTAGAGTGAAGGGAAGTTTTCTCTTTATATACAGTTCTTTCAAACACTGATGGTATTAAGTGTTAGTGTCAGTGTTTAAGATTTATTTTTCAACTCTCTCTCTCAACAATACCCCAACCTGTTATTGTGTTCACTTCAAAAAGGACTTCTTCCTGAATAGCTGGTAGCTGGTAATTGCTGGCTTTCCCAAACATCTTGTTCTGAGAGATGGTGCAGTTCCAACTTGGGCCAAACTGGACATACTGGAGAGTCTGGACCACAACCTGAGTATGCTTTATTAGCTGTGGATTTGTTAGGCTTCAAATGAACACAGTGGTTGGTATAGAGATCAGAGTTGTTGGTTGCTCACTTCAAACAGCTGTAAGCCATGTAACCCTTAAACGGTTTAGAAATATGGCGATCGATATTGAGCGATGGTAAAGTGTGGTGGTGGATTTATGACTATAAATCTGTGAATTTGACATTGCACTGCAATTAGCCCCCAGGTAATTCAGCTAACACGATAAGTGTTTTAGATACAGTATTTGGAGATATTCTACAGCATCCACACTAATCTGGATACTATACCAAATAACGCATTTTACATTTTTCATAAAAACAAGTCACACTATGAAAATCTTTTGACTGTAATCAAAAGAAGGTTGGGGCTTACTAATGCACATAGCTTCTATACAACCAATCTATATAATGCACTATATAGAGAACATAGCCTTTTATACTGATATTTGTATACCATACAAATGACATTCATACAAAGACACCAGACATTCACTTTCAATGTATAGAGGTGGCAGGTTTCAAGTGGCACACATCTCTAAATCTCAGCACAGAAATAAGAAACTATCTGCACCACTGGTCGATCTGATTACACCTGACCACTGACTGAATTGATCACACTGTATATCCAGGTGTAAGATGCTGCAACAACAGCAAACCATGACCCTGCTGATCAGTCAGCTGTAGTATAACTGTATATGAGATACAATGCACAGTGTCCAGGTTTATTGTGATATATGAAGCCACACACACATTTGCAAAACAACATTTTTAGGAAGAAAACTGCTTCTTATTTTCAAAGGAAAGCATCATTTTGGATCTGTATTCGTCTTAGTGAAGCACAGAGACATCCAGTATACAGAATTTGGCTCTGCAGGTGGGACAGGGGACCTTGCTGGACAACCAGGTCTCAGGTCTTTGCTGATCTTGGCGGCTGGCGAACCATCTACCCATACAGGACAGACACCACATGGGTCTGCACATGCACAGCTGGCAGTCTGACTCGTTAAAAGGTCCTGCAACATATAACAGTTACACAGTCACATTAAGTAAGACACTCATGCGTGCGCGCACACACACACGTTTGTACTTCAATCTTAGTGAGGACACTAACCCTAACCTTAACCATCACATCTAAATGTACAACCCAAACCCTCATTCAAACCCTAAAACCAAGTCTTAACCCCCAAACAGTTCATTAAAGGTGGGTCAGAAAGTGAGGACCGACCAAAATGTCCTAATTTTTCCGAAAATGTTCCACTTCGTAGGCTCAAAACAGTCCTCACTAGGGTTGCAAAGGAGCGGAAAATTTTCGGTAAATTTCCAGAAACTTTCCAAGGGAAGTTAAGGTGGGGAATTTTGGAAATATTCCAAATTGGAAACTTTCCATGAGAATTATGAGAATTTATGGGAATTATTGGGAGTTTATGGGAATTAACTGTAAATTGGGGGTAATTTAAACAAACTGGATCATATCCAAATATAAATGTAAATATTTTTGTTTTGTCATAAGCAGACATCACCTTCTGTGTGGCAGAGTCTGACCAATTTGGTGTTTGCTGGAACCTGCATGCAGCCGATACAGGCCTCTATCTCCTGCATATGGAGAAAACATTTATTTTACATTTCAATTTCCACTCACATAGCGTGACACAATTTGAATTCTCAGCGCAGCAGCATCAACAGTAGTGTACCTGTCCAATGGGAAGTGTGTATGGCTCATTAAGGTCCACCTGTGCTCTGAATGTCTCCAGGAAGAGTTCACTGATGGTTTGGTGGATCACTACATTGGCAGAGTTTCTGATGGGAGCATGGAGTTTATCTCTGAGCTCTGCATATTCTGTAGAATTAAGTCTGGAAACAGTGGAAAAGTTAATTTGTCTGACATTGCACATACAAGGCCAATGTTGATTTTGGGCTTCTAAAAACAAACCTGATATCAAAGTGTCTGATGGCAGGGTTGATGCTGTCCACTCTTAAAGTCAAGATCTGTGCAGGGGAGGATGAGTCTGGACTCAGCTGGTGCTGCCTGGACTCGGTCACCGTCACATGACATTCATTCTGTAAGGCCATGTACACGTGATAGGTGGTAACCTGGAGATGGACAAAAGGCATATTAAAGATATATTGATGAATGTAAATAGATTTTTTTGTGTGTTATACCTTCAAAATTAAAACGTATCAAATGCCACTGCTGCACAAGGCAAGATTGTTGATCATGCACTGCTCAAAAAAGTTGAAATACATTCAATACTTTGTATAATTTGTAGAGAATAAAATGATGTAGCATTACATTACATTTCAACAGTCAATGGAAACCAAAATCATCAATCCACTGAGGGCTGGATTCAAAATCACACCAAATATCAAAGCAAAACATTTAAATTAAAGGCTGAGCTGAGAATCCTTCGTGAACTTCAACACGACAACTAATAATGTGAGTAAGTGACACCTCTGCATGTCTGTATGCACTCCTGACAACGTCTGATGATGCTCCTGATGAGCATGGTGTCCTGGAGGATTTCCTCCCAGACCTGGATCTGGGAATGAGTGAGCTCTTGGACAGTCTGTGGTGGGATTGGATACACTGACATGTAACGTCCTATAGGTGCTCATTGGATTGAGGTCAGGGGAACATGATGGTCTGTCAGTGGCATCAATGCCTTCGTCATCCAGGAACTGCCCACACACTCTGGCCACATGAGGCCGGGCATTGTCCTGCACCAAGCAGAACTTGAGGCCCACTGCACCAGCGTAAGGTCTGAAAATCACTCTGAGGATCTACGGTACCTAACAGCAGTCAAGGTACCCTCTCCAAGGATATGCCTACCCAGACCATCACTGACCCACCGCCTAACTGGTCATGATGGATGATGTTACAGGCAGCATAATGCTCTGGATGCAAGGAGAGACAAATTGTCTGTGGCCACCACATACAAAACTATTCCCTTTTTGAGGGTTGTCTTTTTTAATCTCCATTGCACTTTGTCTTTTTCATTTGCACCACAGCAGGGGAAATTGATTCAAAGTCACTTGTGCTTCCTAAATGGACAGATCGATATCTCTGAAGTTTAACTGACTTGGTTTTATACTGTGACGATGTGTTCCCATAATATTTTTGAGCAGTGTAGTTCACTGAGGAAGAGTTTTGATTTAAATGGACTTGTGCAACTTCACTACTAGATGCTACTAAACCCTACACAATTAACCCTGTAAGCTACTAAGGCTGCATGATATATCAAAAATGTAATCGTCATCAACATGTGTGATATATGTATCGCAAAAGACAGCTTGAACTGCGATAAATAGTTCCATGTGCCATGCATTCACGCTCTGCCTGTCAATATATTTGGCCAATCAGATGGAGCCCCGTTGCCCTAAATAATAAATCAAAGATACTCAGATCATTGACTGGTTTTTCCAACAATTAATCATTTTCGGAAGATGAGGATATAGAGGAAAGTATATACAATATATACAAACGTGTTGTCATTGATACAAATGTATATGCAATAATGCACGTGTTGTCAGTAGGGCTGCAAGATTAGGAAAACATGTGATATTGTTGAATATTGCAATGATGATACAAGTCGCGATAAATAAACAAATGCTTAAGTATACAGTGTTAAAGTATTTCTGCTTTGGTGTTACTGCTAACATAGACCCCATACAGTAAGTGGTCTATGCAGACACAAAAAAAAAAAAAAAAACATTATTTCCACTCCAACATGTTTTTATTTTTTTTATAAAACCCCACCTGGCTACATTTGGGGTTTTTCATACATGTTTTTTATTGTTTACAGTTTATAGCGGCTCTTTCCTCTTTCTTCTGTGACTCTATCATTCGAGCTGTGCACTGTGTCAACCGCTGCAAGCCATACCAAGCACGTGTGTGAGCCT